TTGGACCTGAGCATGATTGATCCGATCTGTTTTTGTGAAGTTACCATTAATTTCTTCACTTACCTTCACCCACATTTACTTACCATCATATGTTTTTATCATTACGACTAAAACCTTAAACGATTCACGCATATGAAAGTAACTGAAGGTAAGTGAAGGTGCGAGTAATTAAAGGTATATGCAGGTCCAATTTTCTTCTACACCAGGCCACTGAAGTTTCACTTATTTACAAAAATATCTACGTTTTTATGACAATGATTAAACTAAACAAATATCATCCAAAGGCTTAGAATGCATTTTCATTGTTACCAAACTCAATAGTTCTCATACGATCTCAATTATATTTATATATATATATATATATATATATGTTTGGTAATTAATAATTCAACTAAATTCATACATTATCATCTCTACAAGTTACTAATCTATTAGTTGTAATCTACTAAGGTTTTATTTCATCATAATTAAATGATGTTTTAGACACTTCATCATAAATCATATTCTTTTTTAATTTTACTAAAAATAAATTAACTTTTATTTTTCATATAATCAAAGAGAATCATTTTCCAAAAATAGAAAAATCTAATTAATAATGTTAAAGGGAAAAAAACTCATCAAACAATAATACCACGTATCATAATTATGAAAGAATCACATTTACTTTTATAGTAATTTAATGAGAATAAAAATGTTATGATTTAAAAATATTTTTTTATATGATTTCTTTCGTAAAATATTAGGGTTTAAAATATTGATTTACATACATTTGTTTTACAATGTGATAGTCTCACATGTATTTGTTTCATCATGTGAATATTTTATACGTGTATTTTTTGTTTCACTAAGTAAACCAAAAAAGAAGTTTCATATATAATTTTTTCACAAACATATCACTACAACAAATTTGGGTTTATAGGACGCCACCAATTTTAACAGGTCTTTTAGGACACTTTTAATACAAAATATCGTATTAGCAATTTTATAAGACATTTTTGTTTTATAAAATAGTACCCTATAAAATTGTTAATGCGACGTTTTATATTAAAAGTGCTCTAAAAAAACATTTCAAGACGTTCAAAAACGTCCTATAAACTTATTAATTATAACGCATTTAGATATGAGATTTAATTTTTAGTTCTAAAAGTTAAGTCTATAAAACGGTCAATGAAGATGCTCAAAAAATTTGGCGTCCAATAAATCTAATTTTGTTATAACACCTTGTAATTAAAAAATATATTTTTATATCAATTTTATAACATTTTTGTGGTTATTATTTGATTATCCTCTTACTTTATATTCATATCATTTTCATCAATAAATTAAATATCAAAAACTGTGGAGATATTTAACATTAAATAGTTAATACAATTATAAATTTCCAATTAATATATATATTTATGCAAATTCAAAAATTATTTTGTCCCTTGACAGCCTTAAAAATTTACCAAGATCCATTTGTCTTTTCTATGATTTGATGAGTCAAGTGAGCATCTGTTTCTCCATTATTTTCTGTCATTTTTCATCATGTATTGTTTTTATCTCCAAAGTAGAAAACTCTTGTAGCAATTATTTATTTTGCAGGCATTTTCAAAGAAAATGCATTTTTATTTTAAAAAATGCATGTTTAAGGTGGTCTACAAGTTAATTACAATTCAAAATAATTTTTAAAAATAAATAATATGAAGAAAGAAAATCTATTTAATAGTCTAATATATTTGTACCTCGTTTACTCTTTAAAAGAATCATTTGAGGAGAAAAGTAATATTCTAACGTGTATATAAAGAGCAATGGTCAAAGTTTAACAGACGTAAGACCTTAACATTTCCTCTCCAATGGAGGCTGACAGACACAATTGTCTTAGAATGTCGAATGGGGGCAAGACAGGTGAGGGGACAGGACGAGTATAGATTGTCCAAGAGTACTATCGAGTTCTAGAGTAGTAGATTTTAGTTCGGATATCATGTGAGAATATATAGAATCTTCATATTATTTTCTAAAAGAACGCTTTAAAAGGAGAACGGATACGATATTCCAATATATATATATATAGAGAGAGAGAGAGAGAAGAAATGGTCAAAATATAGACGATGTAAGACTCTTGACAAATGACCATATTGATTTGCTTTTTCAAGCTATAGATCTATAAATACAAGTTTTTAGAATAGCAATTAAATAAAAATACGTGTTTATTTATTGGTACTAGAATGATACTCGTGCAATGCATCAAGACACATCTTGATTTCAATGTTTCATCTTATTCTTTATCTATGTCGATATAATACAGTTTTATGTGGTTTTGAGAAAGCGATAATGTTTTTATTTTTTAAATAAGATATAAATTTGAAAATATCATAAAATTTTGAAATATATATATATCAATATTAGTATCAAATTAACTATTTAAAAGTTTTAATTTTTTGTAATTTCTTTAATTCAAAATTTTTATTATAATTTAATTTAACGTAACGAAGTAATTTAATTTACGTTTAATAATATAATTTTTTATAAAGATAATCATCATTCTATTAGAACTCAATGATTATTCTAATTATATTTAAGATTTTTTATATTTAAAATGAGTTGGTTACACGAATTCAAATATAGAGCTTTAAGAAGTTGTACTTACACACAACTTACTTGTAATCTTGAATTTTAAGTAATATGTATTAATAAACAGTACTCCGTACATAAGAAAATGGGTTTTAAGAGTTTTTGTCAAATATTTTATAATATAGTATAGATATATTGGCAAACTTTATTTATCTTAAGGGTAAAATACAAATTTGGTCCCTATTGTTAGTCAAAAATAACCTTTTTTTTTAATTATAAAATAACTATTGTAGTTTTTAAAAACATTTAGATTGGTCCCTTCTTCTAATGGTCGTAAAAAATCCATTAAATGGGGGGAATTTTTGTTATTTTATAGAAAAAATTGTTTTTTAACCAATCAGCTTGATTCTATGATTTTGATCTATGTGATTTTTGATTTAATAAAAGACAAAAAAATTGATAAAAGAAACGAAAATATCCCTCATGTAACGGATGTTAGAGAAAGTGATCAAATCCCACAATGATCATCTTATAATTTCAAAACTACGGGAATGAAAAATGTTATTTTTGACAAACAACAGTGGGGAAATTTGTATGTTTATCTTAGAGAAAAGTTTAAAAAACCCAACAAACTTTTTCATTTTGAATAATTTAGTCCCTAAACTATTTTATTGAATGAAAAAACCAATAAACTTTCTCATTTTAAATGATTAAGTTCTTGAACTATTTATTTAAATTAAAAAACCATTAAACTTTCACATTTTGAAAGAGTAAGACCCTGAATTTTTTTAAAAAATGAACTATCGAACTTTTACTAGTTGGTTAATGTAACTTTTTTGGGTTAACAGAATGTAGGTAACTAAATTTTAAAAGTGTGATGGTTTATTTATTAAAAAAATGTCCAGAGACTTGATCAATCAAAATAAAATAAAAATTAATTGTTTTTTCATACAAAAAAGAAAGGTTAATGGTTTTTCATTCAAAGAAATAGTTCATAGACTTGATCATTTAAAATCAGAAAATCAATTATTTTCCCATTCAAAAAAATAGTTTAGGGATTATAAGTCGTTCTAAGTAGAGATGGCCAAATGGGCCCGGACCGGCCCGTAACCGCCGGAGGACCGGAACCGGGACCGGAGAGGGACCGAAACCGGCCCAAGACCGGTATAGACCGGTTGTGGACCGCCGGTTATGAACCGGTTATGGATTTTAACGTTTTTTAGGACCGAGACCGGTTAAGACCGGAACTGGTTATGTAACCGGTTATAGGCCCGGCCCGGCCCGGCCCGGTCAACAAAAGTCAACGTGTGTATATATATATATATATATATATAACAAAACGTATTTATAAAATTAAACGTATATATACATATATATATATTAATTACCAAAAATTTGAAAAAAAATATTTTTTTTTCAAAGGACCGGCCGTAACCGGTTATGGGACCGGAACTGGGACCGGACGGCTTAACCGGTTACCGATAAGCTTGACCGGTTATGAAAGATTTCACCGGAACCGGGACCGGTTATGGAACGTTTTTGTCTTGATCGGGACCGGCCGTAACCGGTTATGGCCCGGCCCGGGACCGATTTTTGGCCACCTCTAGTTCTAAGTGAAAAGGTTTGTTGGGTTTTTTGAAATTTTTCAGTAATTCTATAATTAAATAGTTTAAAAGTTAAGAAATATTATAATCTTGCATGGGCTTGGGCCTAAATAATGCGGTAGATCGATTTTTAGCCCAAATGAGAAACATTGACGGTTGGGTTTAAGAGAAATGGTGCCCAAATAAATGAAATCTATGTCGTATTTTAATATTAAACAACATATATATCTTGTTTACGGTTTGATAAACCTCAACCTAAGCGTACCATGTAGATCGGGTAGGTTGGTCGTTTGAAACTTTGATACATCAGTTTTCAATCTAGCTAAATCATTTTATGTTTAAATGACTTAATCAAAATAAGAACAAACAAATAAAATTAACAAGCTCGATTAATATTAAGTTGCTTCGAGTCGAGTTGAGTTATGTCGAGTTGGATTGGCCATGTTAGTCGGATTTTACCAACTTTTCCGTTCCATCTTTTGGTTTTTAAAATAATGAATACACCAAAATTACATATGTCATTAAAATAATAATTTGATTTCATTAACCACAAGGGTGGTGGCTGATTGGTTTGAGCTTGACTCTAAAGGTCAAAATCTTCTTGTGGCCACGAGGTTCAAATGCGGTCCGGACTATTTACAAAGCAGGTGGTCGTCCTAGAATAATCATCTGGCATAGCGGGTTGGATATCCAGGTTAATCTGGAAGAAAAAAAATCTGATTTTATTTAGAATTAAAAAGTAAATATAATTGAAATCAAATGACTTCTAAAATAAACGAGTTGACTCCAACGGCCTATAGTTTCAAAAGGGGTAGATAAGGTGAAACATCAACTCTCAGTTGCAGAGTCAGCCATGGAAGCTGCAAAGGGACTGGAGATTTATGAAATCGGACCCTGTAAAGATCCATATCAAATGGGTTTCTCCATTGGCAACCATTTCTCCAATCTCATAAGAAGCAGACTCTCCAGAGACTCCATTTTCAACCACCAACTTCTCCCTTTCTCTCAAACTCCACAAGCACAATCCCTCCTCCACTCTCTCTCCCACAACAATAACACCAAATTCCCAGATTACTGGAACGAAATCCGAGGAATGGCACATGGATCCGGCGTCCCCTTTCTTCATGTACGCAAATTCCCCTAATACTTTCAGTCAATTTCGTTTTCCCCAATTTTGATTGCAAAACGACAGATGATGATGCGATGAATCTTGTAACAGATTATGATTTTGAATTTTCGAAAAGAGATCCTCCCTTTCATTCCGAAGTCGGAAAAAGTTGAAGATGAAGAGACGATCGATGATTGCTCCGATATTCTTGTTGTTAGTGATTCAATGGCGGTTGCTGCTCATAATGAGGATGCTAACGTCGCTCTTGTCGGCCATACGTAATCCCTCCCAACTCCAAATTCTAATGTTTCCATGGAGAATTAACAGATGATTCAGATTTTTGGACAGTAGAAATGCTAGATCAGTCTTTAGATTTCATCTCTATTGTTTTCTAGCGATTGAATCTGTGATATTTGTGCATAGTTGTTCTAATTATCTGCAACATTATGAACATTGCAGATATCTGATTAAAGCAACACTATCTAATGGACTATCTTACACAGCTTACACCTATGCCGGAGAGCTCCCGAGCTGCGCATTTGGTTTCAATAACCACGGTCTGGTAAACAGCGTTTTCAATGATTTAGGGGCTGTTCGGTTAGTTTTTTGTTCGAGAAGGTTTTTCCATAGAGGGAAGAAACTTGTTCTTTTATTGGGAGTCGGATCTGAAAAAAATTTGGCTTTCTCATCCATAAAAGAGCCTGCTTGTTAGCAGCTTAATGAGTTATTTACCGTTTGATAGTGGCTTAATGATATAGAAATTGACTTATTTAGTAAGCCTCTAGGAAGTGGTTTATACATAAAGCCAAGTTTTTTTCTAAACCTGCCCCTCCCAACAAAACATGTTTCTTCCATCTATGAAAAAACCTCCAAGCCGAAAAACCTCTAGGGACTTATTGGAGTCCCACATCAGCTAGACTTTAACCATTTGGTTCCACGTGTCTCACATAAACTACCCGAAAACGGTGTTACATAAGTACTTAACTACTAACCATTCCGTATAGGCATTTACACTGAACTCGGTGCCGCCAAGCGAATCGGAGATTGTGGCAGGTGGGATCGGGAGAAACTTCGTTTCTAGAGATCTTCTTGAAGCAACAAGCATCGAAGATGCAGTTACCGTAAGTCTCGGATTTCTCTCTTGATCAAAGGTTTAACTTTTTTTTCCTGGTTTCTCATTTGTACGGCTTTCTTTAGAGGATTCGTTCATCACAAGTTTCAGTTGGGCACAGCTATAATCTAATAGATGTAAAGCTACGGAGGATCTTAAACGTCGAGACTGCATCAAGTCAACGACTTTCACTTCATGAAGTCGGGTCAACCCCTTTCTTCCATGCCAATATGTACCTTCATCTTGAAGTCAACCAGGTAACAATGTATTACATCGTGACTTTTGGTCCTAACCTAACGCAAAACACTGAATCTTATTCCGAATTATGAAGGCACACGATCAGAACTCAATAAGCCGACAAAACCGAGCAGCTTTGCTGCCAAAACGGTCGAAAGATGACCTTCTTTCGCTCATTGGAGACACAGCTGATGAGGAGTATCCTATCTATATGCAAGGTATAATAATCAAACCATCTCGATGTTTATTATGAGAATATATATATATATATATATATATATATATATATATATGTGTGTGTGTGTAGAGAGAGAGAGACAGAGAGGGGTTCTAGAAAACCTCTAAAAATGAAAAACTTAGGAACACCCTGGTAGCTGTTCATCTGGACGGTATGCACATGCACAAGTAATTTTTAAGCAATTTGTCCAGTATGCACATGTGCATAACATGCATACCAGACAACATTTATGATCCGATGTTAAAGTTTTCTAATTTTAACTTTCAGGCCCGACTCTTTACACGCTATGTACGGCTATGATCGACTTGGATGAAAGAACGCTAGTGATAACCGAATCTAATCCTAGAAAAGGCGAGGTTTTTTATGTTTTCACGATGGTTTAAGAATCGGCATTCATAATCCTTGATCTATTTAATTATGTCGACAAATTTGTAAGGAATTTAAGCATATTTTGATATTCAAAACGCCGAGCAGCATGTAAAATTGATACAAGAAATACATGTATTGAAACCGAAAAGACATGATACAACGATTTGTAGATTTATGCACACCGAAAACAGATAACTTGTGAAAGGCCGAGAAAAAGGTGAAGTTTAGAACGAAACCTTGTTAGTTTTTACACGAGAACCCGATCTATGACCCCGTGTTCTTGCTTCAAGTAACTTTGACTTCAAGCTAGTTTGATCCTTTGACTCAACCGGGACTTTTGCCGATGACTCGGAAAGCTCAAGATCTTCTATCGGTAGCCTTGTGGTCCAACCCCGAACCGGACTCGGATGACTTTTCCACATGGGTTTACTAACGGAGTCATCGAAGTCATTTCCCGTTTCCCGATAATGGTTTTTGAGTAAACTATCCAAATATTTCGAGTTTAAACCGACCTCTTCTTCAGTTATTTCGACATGATTTTCTTCTCCGGTTTTTGTTTGACCTAATATCGCCTGTGCCATTTGCTCTTCAAACTTCACCTGCAAACTAGATGAATCACGCCCTTTTCCCGTTCCTTGCGACACAAGTTTTTTCTTACCCTGATCCAGCTTCGTGGTTGAATTTCCGATCTCATCTTTGCCACGGGCAACTGGTTTATCTAGCTCGAAACACGGTGAATCACCACCGCCACCAGATGAAACATCGTCATCGTCATCACCATCATCAGGAGGAGCACTAGCGGCCAAATTCATTGGGATGGACTCGAGCGAATGTCGTCGTCGAGCTGTTGCTCCCGCCCCCGATCCCGACCCTAACTTTTGTAAACCTTTCCGTTTCGCTTCAAGAAAAGCCTCGATTTCCGAGCTTAACTTTTCTGCAACAGAGTTCTTCAAAGGTGTCGTCTCTTGCTTGGTTTGCATTCGCTCGTCGAGCCAAGATTCGGATATATGAAGAATCAGTCTGTCTCGAACCACCGCTCTATGATTCGAACCATTACCTTTATCGGGAGTTATAACCTTCAACGAATGCATTTCTTGTTCGTAGGTTTTAATCCCCCAAGCAAACTCATCACAAAGATCTTCCAAAAGCACCCTTGATCGCCGCTCGTTTTCCAATTCCCGCAACGCTGTTGTGAGAGATGTTTTCGACTCGTAGAGCTCCCGAGCCAATTTCCGATGAAGCGTCTCCGACCTTTTCCGTAACTTCCGCTCATCTTCAAGCTCGTCTTTCACCGACTGAATGGCGGTAGCGGCTTGACCTTGTTTATCTTCAGCAATTTGCTTCACCAAGTGTTCCATTTCATGCCGATCAGATTGTCGGTCCCGGGAAAGTTCTTTGATCTTTGATCGGGACAAATCTAGTTCACGTTTCAAAGCTCTCACGAGGGTTACGTTGGCTGCATGTTGTTCTTCGAGGCTCCAAATTCGATTCAAAACTTTTAGAAGCTCAGTGGACGTTTTGAGACTATAACTTGTTTCGCCATTTCCTCCTTTAAACTCGATAGAACTTGTAGGAGTAACAGCAGGATTATAAGGTGCTACCTGCAAAAGAAATAGCGAATGGTCAAATGGTCTTCCTTTCGAATCCAAACCAAACTCGATTTTGTTTACATTTTCAAAATCGGTTTCTTGCTTCCGATTCACAGTTTGTGTAATTTTAGCACCATCGATTGTTTTTCCTCTAAATGTGTATAAATCTTTGATAATTATGGACCCAAAATCAACCCTATTGACCAAAGAAGTCAACAAATCTCCCATAAACACAAGTGCAGTATGGTTCAATGGTCAAACCTGCCATTTTTCAAATTCGAAATCAACTGGATTTTATTTCGTTTTCAATATAATCTTTTGTCATTCACTTCACACTTTATATAGTTTTAACACCATTGAAAGTCTTCCTTTTGATATATACAAATTTGAGACAGTTATGGATCGAAAAACCGAACCACTTGACCAAAAAAAGTCAACACATTCCAATCTAGAACAAATGGAACAAGATTAGAGATGATTTTGTACCTCCATGGAACTACTACCGTAACTTGCAGGTGATACTGCTCGTACAGCGTTACGGTCGTTATGGTTCCTTTGAATCGTGCGGTTATGTTGCATCATTGACGCCGCAACGTGTCTTCTCAAACTACTAGCACTCCCCTACATTTATCAAAAACAAACTCGACATATTATTTCCTTGATAGTTGTTGCAATTAAGCCGAATCGAAGGTTTTATCATAGAAATCTAAGGGCCTGTTTGTTAGCAGCTTAACGAGCTTAATAGAACTCATAGCTTATTCGGTCAGCTATACATGATTTTTTTGGTAGTGACTTAATGATATAGAAATTGACTTATTCACTAAGCTTCTAGGAGGGAACTTTGTGCAGAAAGGATTTTTTCCAAACCCGCCCTTCTCAAATAAATATACGTTCCTTCCATCTATGAAAAAACCCTCCAAAACCAAAGCTTTCCAAATCTATACAGTATGATGAATCCAGACAGACAGAATAACAACCAAATAGCCCCCTAAATGGTACTACTATTGTAATTGTAACACCCCATTAGCAAGCTGACTGAAAGAAGTTTTTGGTAACCAGAGGCCTTCCCAAGTGCCTCTTTTTTTTTATTAACCTGGATATCCAACCCGTTATGTGAGCGGACTAATCCCTGGACGACGACCTGCTTTGCAGATAGCCCGGAGTCACCACATTTGAACCTCTGGCATAACCCTAAAAGAAATGGTACCAAAAGAAATGCCCCTTTTTTTCTCCTTAGATGTTATCATCTTAAATGCTTCAAATCAACATTAACTGTCCAAATGGCAAAATTGGAGATTGAAATGTGAATAAGTATGATCCATACAGTATCTTAAATGAGCACAAAAGACCATGTAATTACCATAAAAACGACCCCCACCACCCCACGCATCATAATCAACAACTCAGAAACTCCATTAATGAATCTTGAAGAAGAACCACATTGACCATATCAAATCAATCAACAAACCTCAATTGAATTCTAAAAGGAAAACAGATCCATCCACAAGAAACAAAAGGGTATCAAAAGATTCAAGATTTCAAGAAGGGTTCAGTGTAAATTTACCAGTTCAGGAGAAGCAGGAGAAGGATCAGGGTTATCTTCAAGAAGATGATGCCGGAGGTGGTGATGGTGGTGGAGGTGGTGGAGCTGCTGATACCGGTGGTTCCTCCGGCTCCCTCCTCCTCCTCCTCCACCACCGCCGTTGTACATTTTAGTAATCGGAAGATCGTATTGATGAAGCTCCCAAACAGTAGCAGCTATCGTTCTAGCAGAAGCACCAGGTGGCACAGAGGCTGTCCAACTCAAAACAGGGTTCTTCTCTTCCACCTCGGACACGCTGCTATATTGCGCACCACCGCCGCTGCTAAATTGAGCCTGAAATGTCAAAACAGGAGTGGTTTGTCCACCTCTTTTCCCTGCTATTCTCCTCAACTTTTCCCCTAAATTTTCTTGATTTTCTGGTGGTGGCTCCTTCCCCTCTTCTCCCCTACCTTTTTCTCCTCCTTCTCCACCCCACTTTTTCATCTAACCTTTTTTAACTTTATCCCTCCACCCACTCACCCACCCACCAACTTTTCTCTCTCTAGAATTCCCTTTTGATTTTTTGTTTTCTTTTTCAGTTTGAATTTATCATATCACTGGAAGAGGGTAAAGGGTTTTCTGTGTGTTGTTCTTGTTCTTCAACAGTGTGAAGTGGAAATGTGATTGAATCATTTGATGTGGGACCCAAGGGTTCATGGTGAGAGGGCCAAGGTTTTGTTTTTAATTAGGGAAGTGTCTGGGGGTGTGGGGTTCATTCCCTGCCATGGAAAAGGAAGGATTCATGTAATCAATCTATTTTTCACTTTCTACATTGTTCCAATACTAAATTACAATTTTAGTCCAGTAGTTTGGTAAATAATACAGATTAGGTCTTTCAAACGAAATAATTACAAGAGTCGTTATTATGGTTTTCATTTTATTTCAAATCAACTCTATCCTACTTAGGCTTAGGAGTGTTAACGAGCCAACAGTATCAAAAAAAAACTGATTTTACAGGACGTCTAATATGTAGAAACATTTTAAAAAAATACCAAGACTTAAGTTTATAGGATCAAACCAAAAAACATTATAGACTCGTCTAAAAATGTTACAATAGGTTTATAGGACGTTTTTAAAGTAAAGTGTCATATTAACTATTCTATACAACACTGTTTGAAAAGATGTCCTATAACACAAGTTTCCTATAAAAAGATGGGTTTATAGGAAACTTCTATAAACTTCTATGCTCGTTTAACAAATTTGAAGTTAAGCTCACTTATGGGCTCGAACCCAATAACTTCTATATTTTATTTTACAATATATGAGCAAGTTGGACTCAGAAAAGTATACACTTGAGCTTGAATGACTTGACTTGACTCGAAAAATTTAATAGAGCTTTTGAACGAGTTGAGTGTAATGAAATTCAGCTCTTTAAGTTAAATGAGCTTTATTTTATGTTTGAGATTAACTCGAGCTCGTTGCAAACTAAAACCGTTAAAACACCCATACTCATACCATTATATACATGTAAAACTAGAACCACAAAAATGTTTAATACTATGAGTATCATTAAACCATTCAACGAGTCTAAATTTAGGCTAGGATTCAACTCTACTATCATCGTTTTCCTGTCTCTGTGTATTTTTCTTGTTTTACATGTAAAACCGTTCTATTTGTTTCACATATAAAACCATTTTTGTTGTAGAATTTGATCCACCTTTTACAAATAGTAAAAAAAGTTCAAACAAGAATAGAAACAAAACAAGAACAAATCACTCACTATCCATCCATCATCTACTTGGTAGGAGTAGGACCCAGCAGACAAATTCCAGTTTGAAAATTTCTCCAAAAATGTGTGTTTTTAATAAGATGAAAACCAACATGTTTCCCATAGAAGGAACAGAAAACCATGTGTAATAATAAGAAGAAAACACCAATCTTTCCCCTACATAAACTGTAACCTGGGTTCAAAACAAAATCCAGAAAAGATCTCAAGAGGAAACTTCTTATGCATCTGACATTTCTGACACCAAAACCACTGTCTTGTATCCATATCATATATAAGCACAGCTGTTCCACCATAACTCTGTATGTATATCAAATCCCCACCTCCACTGCTTGCAAATACATCATCCAACTCCCCAAAACCCTGCACAAACTTCTGTGGCATTCTTGTAACTTCCTTCCATTCTTTCCCATTAAGCACCCATATGCCAATTCCCTTTATTACCCCTGGTCTATCTGCCCTCCCTATCCCCCCCACCAAAACCACCTGTCTTTGAACCTTCATTAGCCTCCCACACGTTAGAGCACAGGGTGCTGAAATTACAGATTCCTCCTTCAACACTCCAATGGGGTTGAAGGTTTCAAGATTGTAAGTTATCAATCCATGGAAGTTTTGGACTTCATTTGGCCTTGTGCAGAACACCAAGATGTACAAGATGTTGTCACATATTAAGCTTACATCACCTGGTCTCCATCCTTCCATGCCTCCCATGACTGGGGGTAACCATGTCTTTTCCTTTGAATTGTAAATGTGAATAGAAACAAGCCATGATAAGAAATCCTCTGAAGCTTGCATGGCTCTAACAATGGAGATTGTGTATTTTGAGTTTGACTGGTCAACAGAGAACGCTAACGCGCTATACACGGGGAAACCTGGGCTCGGTGGGTTCTTTAGAGTTTCGTATTCACGAGTGATTGGATTGCAAATGTGGATCTTTTTACAGGTTTCGTCGTCCATGAAGCTTACGAGGCCACACGAGGGAGCGATTTTCCAGGTGTGGTGGACCAGGAATGGGAGCTCGAAGTTGTACCATTTTCGTAGACCGGAATCGTAAAGATAACCTACGGGTTCGGCTGAGCTAGTGAACATGAAGTACCAGGTTTTTTCCGAAAGGAAATTTGCGTCTGTTAAGGTGAATTTCTTGGAGTGGACGATTTGGTTCCATTTCTTACAGACGCAGGCCGCTTTGAATATCGCTGATAAAGGGAGACGTGATAGAATTCTCTCGTGAATGTCATCAGGGAGGATGTCGATTGAGACGGAATTCTCTTCTTGATTGTTATCGTTCTCAATGAGTTCCAAATTCAGAAGGAAAACCCCGCTTCCCTTTCGGTTGGTATCAGATTCATCATCAGACCATGAAGCTCCCGGCACAGACAAACTGAAAGAATCCTGAAACACAACGGAGATCGCTTATAACGTTTTCTTACAATTATAACAACGTTTTACCATGTAGTAACATTAGTATGAACCCGAAAAGACTGGTTTTATTATCACGTGCAATATGAAATTTGACCAAGTCTTTGCTTCGGTGCGTCCAAGAGTTCTTGTTAAACACTTGATATCACCATAACATCGAGCAACAAACAGAAAACTAATGCAACCACTATCAAGAGATATCCATGTTTGTTAACAGCTTAATGAGCTTAATGAGACTCACAACTTATTTAATCAAATATATATGACTGTTTGGTAGTGGCATAAATGATAGAGAAAGTGATTTATCTGGTAAGCTTCTAGGGGAAGCTTTATGCAAGAAGCCAAGTTTTTTACAAACCTGCCTCTCCTCAATTAAAGAACACGCTCCTTCCATCTATGAAAAAACCTTCCCAGATAAAACCTTCCTAATCTATATAGACAGATTAATCCACATAGACGGCTTTATCCACACAAAACTTAATGGAAAACCAACCAAACAGCCCCTCAGGTTCAAATGTACGCGGTTCACATAACATTTATGTATTTCCATTCTTCACGATGGAAGAAGTTAGAAAAGAGGATACTTATGGTTATTTCAATCATTCACGGCTATAATAACTTTCATGAAGAAACAAGTACCCTTAACCATACGTGATTCGTTCAGCTAGGATGAACATTTGATCACATTTTTTTGTGGCCTGTTGTCTGTGAAGTGCTACACTGCTAGCAAATCAAGTAAGTTCCATGTTCGCTTTTACCAAATTACTCCTAAAAATTCTTGACTACCCTATAATCGAACTCTTCTTTTCTTGGGAAATGTATAAAATTGATTTGAGATCGATCCCTTTTCGAGTTAAGACATAAGAAGCATGTTTTACTTCTCATATACAATTATGCTAATTCCACCATCCTATTGCTCTTTCCCGTTACAACAAAACCAAAGCCCAAGTTTTATCACCCTTGATTTTTCCACAACATGTGCTCGAAATGAAAGAAAGCGCGAATAATCACACACAAAATACAAGATTTATGTGTCCACCCCATAAGGATTATATGGAGAAGAAAAACGATGTCCCTAACCCTAAAGGAATGTAATATTTATAGACGCCAATTTAGGAGCATTCTTGCTAGGATTCTAACTCAAACAAATAAAAAACACACACATACGCACACTTGCACACTATAAATACATAAGATGTGATCGGAAATAGGACAACCGTTGCTTCAGACTAATGAGAGATGGGGAGAGTCTTTGATTCTGAATCAAAGTCTTAAAATGGGGAGATCATAGGACTATAGGAGTATAAGGACTTTTTGCATATCCATCAAACACATATAAAAATAGAATGAGAACCCATTTTCTTGATAGGGATGCCCTTTTGGACTAGAATTCAAGAATCCCAATAGAGGTAATATGTTATATATTAAATTTTACCATGCTCATCATATAAACCCCATCCTGTAGCCACCGTTGTTGCTACACCTCGAATATGCTAACCAAACAAGTATATGTCTCATTGCCTTATGATCCAACTTAGGTCAAGCAAAGAACAATTTACCTCCTGTAATGTATGATACTAGCAATACTTTTTGCATAAATTTAACATGAAAAAGATTCGAACGTTTCCAATATATATATATATATAGAGAGAGAGGGAGGTTTTTGGGAAAACCCCAAAAAAACAAAAAAGTAAGAAACACCCTGATAATCCTTCATCTGGACGGTCTTCACATGTGCATATACATCCCGTCCAGATGAACGGTTACCATGTTGTTCCTCGGTTTTTTTTTTTTTTTTGCGGTTTTCCCCCGAACCTGACCTATATATCAGATATACACTACTGTTTCAGTAAACTCAGCATCCAAACAACTTTTTCTTCAGACTAATTGCTTGTTCAAAGATAAACTAATTCCTTCTTCAAATAATCTCAAAAGAGAGTAATATTAGTGCAAATTCAAGGTAATATCCCCTTTCCTCAATTGGGGTTCGCCTAGCTGAAAACAAGTAGCAAGATATCCTTAATGCTCACTAATCACAGAAGGTGAAACCTAATTTGAGATTGAAACTGAAGAAACCCGACAACCAAATCCTACAATATCGGGCAAACTTTTGAAGAAATTAAGTACTAAACAAGATTACCGTAACCCAAAACAACATAGATCGATTAATCAAAGCATACAAACATCAAAATTGAACCAAAAGTAACCTCCAATTGCACACTACATATACCTTAATGTTAAATGAATTCCAAAAGAGGGTTTAAAATTCGTACCATTTTGGAAACGGTGAAATCGAACGGAGAGCGATGAATCGGTCTCCAAACTTGCTTAATACGAGGTGGGTTTCTCTGTGTTCATCAGAAAATCGCAAAATTTCAGACAATTTAAAGAAAAACGTACAGATCCCACAAATTGTTTCTAGGGTTTATGCCGATTTGATGGATCAATTTTCTTAAATGCTGATCATCGGCTTTAATTAACAACCCGTTTCGCCCTCGCCACAAACACCGATGTAGCTCGTGTGTATTTGGGGCGGGGGGTGCGGTGGGGTTTGTGGGTGCGCTGCAAAGAACGAGAAGAACAGTGGGATGGCGGATTCTGATTGGCTGAATATATCCACGTGGATATACACGTCAAGGATACAAAATTGGGACCAAAATCAACGGTCTAAAAACAATCACCGTATGGCGTGGATCTTGGTGGTGAATCCGTGGTCGTTGATACACCGTATCATTAGGTTTCCATAAAAATTACAACCATTTTTTATTTCATCGAATCGTATTGAATAATTCGAAAATCCTTCGATTTCTATCGATTTTGGTAGGTTTTCAGCGTTAATCATGTATTTGGAAAACGATAATTACAATGGAAATCATTGGTCGGAAACATGATGAATTTCGATCGAGAATTGAATATGCATATCAACAACAAGAACAGGTAACCTATTACGACCAAAAAGGAAGAGAGAAGAGCATACCTTGTATTTTGGTTTCCATTGATGATGCATGACCGTAAAAGATGTGTATCTGCTTAGCACAAAATGGTAGAAAAAAACTGTTGAAAAATAACAACAATTTGACATTTATATGTAAAATAGAACGTATCTCGATGGATGACATTTGAAGATACGAGAAATTATTCACCGAATCCTAAAAATTTTAAATTTTATTTCAGATAATATATAATTGTCTTTTATATTATATATTAATAGAAGCACACAATGCAACTCGATACATCTTGATTTTAATATTTTGTTTTGTTTTATTATTTATCTCTGCTAATTTTGTAATAAGGTTTTGTATGATTTTGAGAAAACGACTCCTGCAATTGCACTATGATCAAATTATGACCATAAAACTCAATATAATGAACTATATTTATTAGTTAAGTTAGAACCTAAACTAACTAAGTTAAGCTACAGTCACTGAATTATAAATAAAATTGACCATAAATATAATATACGTTTGAACCAATTGGTCAATTCCTTTAATCCAGTACCATCTTCCTAATTGTCGTGAATTAAACTGAAGTCGAAGAACATAATGAAAAACCAAACTAGCATCGTTAATTGTTATCAAAAAATTCACCATGACTTGAAATGAACTCCGATCGTTCAACGTTTGTTGCCAAAACCAACCGATGAATAAAGGTATCAACTTCGAAATTCTCATTTAAAATAAATCCGAAATTTATGTTTGAAAAAAAAAATACAATTTGTTAACACGTGTTTTGCGTTTTTAAAGATCTGATAAATAAAACCCAAAATAAATGTATCAGTATGTGTATCAAATTAAATATTGAAAAATTCTTATTTTTTATATAATTTTTTTATTCAAAGTTTATTATAATTAAAATATTTTAAAAATAAAGATATAATTTATTTTAGTTTTATTGGTAAATTCTGAATAAAGATGATGATAAAGTATTTGTAGGAATTAATAGTTATCATTTAATTGCGTCGATTGAAATTATTAAAAAAGGGCTACGAATAAATTCTCCGATATTAAATTTATTCCAAAATAATTTTAAACAAAAATTATTAATGGTATGAATTTATATTTTATTTATAAAAAATAGTAATAAAAAACGAGGATTTTAGTCAATCTTGTGTTTCTACATATTCTTGTAAACTTCTCCAAAATAAAGAAAGCAGAAGAAAAAGTGTAAATCTCTTCATATATGGAAATTCTTCAAAAATAATTACCATAAAAGAGAGAACATTTTATTATATTCTCCTAAAAAATGAAATGAAATGAAATGTTTAGTAGAGAAAAATATTATCTATACTATATTATAAAACATTTGAATAGAATTTCTTAAAACCATTTTTAATGCATCAAGTACTGTTTAATGGTGTATATTACTTAAAATTCAAAATTACAAGTAAATGGTGTATGAATACATTTTTTTAAAATTATATGTTTGAATTCATGCTAGGAAGTTGTTTTTCCATAGTTTTTCGTTAAGTGTGACATGAAGGAGACCTTAATTAACATATTCTTGAAAGACAGGTTTGCGAAATACATGCTAAATTAACAGATTCTTTAAAGACAGTCTTGCTAAATACATGGAACCCTTGAGAAACACAAACCCATGCCCTGAGTTCAAAGTGATCCTTCACTTTCTCTTGGTTGTAGAAAACTTTGGCAATGATGGTTTTACCTAGACAAGATTATGCAATTTGATCGTAACTTCATCTACCTTTGAACTTATCTTATGATGATACAAAATGTTACGAGGAGTGAAATTAGTGCAACAAGGTGGCATCGCTTCAATACCATATTGGTATTGATGTGATGCTCACATAAGATTCTCGATTCAACTTACGATGCATCATGCATAGCTTTGGTGCCTAAATCATCGAGTAGATCGTCTATTTCGTAAGCCAAATTATGGAGATCGTGCAATCGACATATCTCTCTTTTATCTGCTTTTGGCCAGCATCGACAAGCACAACTTGGATTGCTTTTGAGAATTAATTCATTGAGATTGAGCGAGTTTGATCAAGTCAGCTTATCAAACAAAACAGTGAGGAATTCGGTGAGAATGATTTATGCAATAGCAACCGGAAATGAAAAGGGTTGTTCTGATTTCAAGGAAAAGGAGTGAGATGAAGCAAAGGTTGAATACTTGTCCAAATACTTTGGTAAAATAAAAATAAAAAGGATTTAAGAGCATAACTTCACAAATCTATAGACTCAAAAAAACAATTTTTTTAATTAAAGGTTTAATTTGGGAGAAGAAATAATGTTATGAAATATTAGAAGGCAGTGACATACATCTTAATTTTAATGTTTTGTTTTTTTTTTTTTTTGTTTTTTTATTAATGTTATAATATGATTATGTGGTTCTAATTTTACTTTTGAATCAAATTGAAACATGTAAATTTGAAAAATAATATATCGATATTAGTATCAAATTAACTATTTAAAAATTATTGTTTTTTTGTGTAATTTCTTGAATTTAATTTAAGTTTAATAACGAAGTAATTTATTTTTTGATTTAATAATATAATTTTTTATAAAGATAATAATTAAGAGTCTGTTTACCAAATGCTTACCCGGGTAAGTGCTTACCAAATCACATTACATTATCGGATGAATATGGTAAGGACCAATAATCTTACCCGGTAAGAGCGAGACAAGGGCCAAAAGTCTTAACCGGTAAGTGAGGGCAACGACTCTTACCACGATAAGTGTTTACCGGGCAGATTGTTTCATACGACGTCATTTTGATGGACTAAAATCTTACATGATAAGTAATTGATAGTGTTAATTTTGCCGGTAAGCGCTTATCGAGTAAGTGTTTGGTAAATGGTCCCTAAGTATTATGGTAGAACTCAATAGTTATCTTAATTATATATTAGACTTTTTACACAAATTAAAACATGAAGTTTCAATAAGTTGTATTTACGTACAATCTACTTGTTATATTAAATTTTAAATAATATGCATCAATAAACAGTACTTTATGCAGAAAAATTGTTTTTAAAAGTTTTTAACAAATGTTTTATAATATACTATAGATAACTAACTGATAAACATAATTAAATACAGATAAACATATCGTTTTAAATATAAAGAATTTAAAATATAATTATGATAAATTCTAATAGAATACTTAATTATTATCTTTAAAAAAATATTTTAATAAACCTAATATAAGTTATTTTGTTATTAAACTTAAATTAAATTACAACAAAAAAAAATATTGAACTAAAAATCATCTCTATAAAAAAAAATTATATTATTAGACTTAAAATAAATTACTTTGTTATTAAATATAAATTAAATTACACTAAAAATTTGAACTAAAAAAATTATACAAGAAAAAAACACAAAACTTTTAAATAGTTAATTTGAATTGATACCAGCTGAAATTTTTATGGGTCTTCAAAATTATATCTTATTCAAATATAAAAGCATTATCATTTTCTCAAAACCATATAAAACCGTGTTATAAAACAAAATATTAAAATTGAGACGTATCTCGTTGCATTACGTGAGTACACTTCTAGTTTTATTAAACATATGTTTTAATAATATAATTAATGATGTGATCTATAAAATGCACATCCTTTGGAGTTGAATCAAATATTTTGAACTTTGATTCTCCATTTTGAATCTAAATTAAGAAAGTTTTATCGCATATTTTTCTCTCTCTATTTTTGAGTATCTACAACAATGTGTACCTAATTTCTACAAATTAACGGCAAATATTTTATCGCATATTTTTCTCTCTCTATTTTGGATAATTCTTAAAATTCGGAGAATATTCCGCTTTGTCTTGTATTTTCCTTAAATTGAGGTTATTTTCGTCTAAATTTCATGATACCCATATATTTTAGGGTCGAAATTTAACTGAAAGAAAATGCACCGTTACACAGTCTTTCACATTGTTCTTCGAGTGATCACTTTGATTTCTCACTGGACCATGTATACCCCAACGAACCTTTTCATGAATACTCGACAAGAAGTTCGTTTGTGTTTGTTTTTTAATAAACGGTTGAAATGAAAGGCGTTTTTGGTTCGTTTCGTTAAACAAACAAAAATTTATAACGCCTTTATTTGATCATCTCTATTTGTGGCTAAAAGATGGAAGAGAAAATAAAATATAAGGCCCAATTCACATTGTGTTTATTGGGCTTATAAATGGGCTTAATTTGGTAAAAGGCTTGTTCACTTTTGGCCCATCTACCTTTTTAACATTTGAATATTTAAACACCTATTTCTAATATTGAGAAGATAAATTTAAGATTGTTTTTATCAAAATAATTACAAGATTACTTTGAAATTCTTAGGTTTTATAGCATTTATATTTTACTCAACAACTGGCATCATTTTCTTTCTTTAATTAGTTTTGTCAAACATACATTTATTTAAATTATAGATATATATAGGGGCACATTCAAATGCAAATCATTCAATTTGTATAAACCGTGCAAATCTCATTCAACCAATCATATTTTTTTATTTTGTTCATTTTTTTTGTAATTCAGAGAGGTTGATTAATTAGATATTATCATCTTCATTATTTTAATTTTTGAGAAATACAAGAAATAGTTTCATTAAGTATCGTATGAAATAATTTCATAACCATATATGAAACAACTACATCAAAAAAAATATTATATGAAACAATTTCACAAGATTAAACAATTTCATGAAAAAATTTCATAAGATTAAACAATGAAATCGACAGATGAGGGTGGTTTGCACGATTTTATACAAATTATGTGGTTTGCATTTGATTGCTCATCTCTCTCTCTCTCTTTATATATATATATATATATATATATATATATATATGTGATTGGATTCGGTCCGTTTAATTTTATTAGATTGTTTAGTACCATCCAAAAATTGACCCATCCAATTAAGATTTTAAAATTGATTTAATATAGCTTGATGACAATAGGAGAATCAATTATGGTAAGTCGTTTCATATTCGGAGGTGTTTGAGATTGCTTATAAAAATAACTTATTGACTTATTATGGTGTGACACCGGTAATAAGCACTTTCGAGTGTTTGGATGAACAACTTATACCGGTGCCAATCACCCCTTAAATTGGATCAATTCTATCCCTTTTTATACACACCTAATTTATAAATAAGTAAATTACATTTTTGGTATTTATAGTTGCCATTCATCATCAAGTTGAGTCCATTTTTTAAACTAATTACAATTTTGATCAACATGGTTGTCATTTTATTTTGCTTTTGATCCGTTTGACCAATTCTAGTTAAAAAGGTTAGTCAGCTAGCCAAAGGGTATCTTGGTCCTTCTATTATTTATTTTTTTTCGTGTTTTTCATTTTATGTTTTATCGGATTATATGATAAATTACAATTTTCGTCCTTGTGGTTTGTCTTTTATCCCTTTTTGTCTTTCCTACTCTTTTTATTATTTCATTCTATAACTTTGTTATATTAATTAATTAATAATAATTTTAACTAACAATAAATTAAAAATAGGTATTCATTTTGTAAGTTACACAATTAAAAAAGTTTTGTCGATATCTTTAAAATAAGTTAAGTATTAAATATTTTTAATTTTTTTTATACAATTTATCTGTTATATATCTGCAAATCCGTATACACAAATCCAAAAAAAACTTTTCTATTTTAAGTTGTGTTTTAAAAAAATTATCCCTTTTTCTTATTTATGTAATATAAAAATCAAAATTTTTTTACGTCTATTTTTTTTTTTTTTTGAAAGGCAAAAAGGAAGGACAAGGAAGAGAGCTACGGCATGGCCATCACCCTCACCAAGCCAACCAATAGATAAAAAACGGATCCAGCAAGAAGCTAGACGCAAGCAGATACAAGAGTCCAATACAACGAAACAAGAACATAAGGGTACAAGACCAAAAAGACCTCAAAAAAAGAGGTCTTTTTACGTCTATTAATAAAAAAATGTATCATTTTTAGATATTTCATTTAATTACATGTTTTTTTTAAGTGCATACCAAATGAAAAAACTCTATAATATAATTATTAAACTTTTTTAAAATTATAAACTTAAATTTATTATAATGAAAAATAAATAACCAAGCATTTAAGTGTAATATAGAAACAAATAAAACAATGAAAATGTGTTGCTGTGGCATATCAATGCAATCCGATGATTTCAAATCCAGAAAATCTTTCAAACCAAACATGAGATTGGAATAAAAGCCAATTTCAATTATGTGTTTGGTTTAAAGTAAAGTCTGGAACTAAAATTCCACAAATACGGGATAAAAATTCCCATGGAGTATTTAGCTGTTAGCATTTCGTTAGATCTAATTATTTTTATATATTATTTATCAAAAATGATATTTATTCTATCTCCAAACTACAAACTAAACAACCACGCATACTTTACGTTATAAATTACTTTTTTTCTGATGTACTGATTTATTAAAATAAATTAAAAAAATGAATATGTGTAGTTATTAGTTGGTTATTTATTTTTAATTGTAATTTACTTTATAATCTAATAAAAAAAATTGGAAAAAAAAAACAAAAGTAAAAGAACTAAAATATCCTTTAAGTTAACAAATCAGTTTAATTAAAATTAGTCAGAGGGATGGCCAAAAATATAATTAGTTTAAAAAGAGACCAAATTTGATAATAAGTAACAAATATAGGGACCAAAAATGTAATTTACTCTTTATAAAATACTACATACATCTAATATGCACGTATTTGACATTTCAATCGCATATTAATAATATAATAAAAATACTAGGTTGAAAATTATATGAATAAAAAATACTTGAGAGTTTTGATGAGGAGACATGACATGAAATTACTTCAATAAATAAATAAAAAGTCAAAGGGTGGACTATGATCCTGAATTCGTGTACGTGTTATCATTATTGAATAAAAGCATATATATTATATTATATTAAAAAATAATGTGTTTATAATTATCCATTGGACTATATTTAGGGGCTGTTTAGCAGTTGCTGAATGATTTAGTGCAGAATAGTTAAGAGGTCAGAATGGTTAAGTGCTGAATGAAATAATGTTGTTTGGTAACTGTTCTCTGAATGACAACAAATTACCATTTTAATCTTCTGCCTATTTGCAACATGATTAACCTGCTTATGTTTAAAAACAGTACCCATGGGCTCAAAGCCACTGTTTCAAGAAACCTCATCATGTGATTGCAAGGTTTAAACATAAACATTGAAGGAGGCGGTAGAGGAAGCAGATGTAGAGAAGCGAGGAGATCGATTTTAGGAAAATACCTTAAGCGAACGACGACCGTCAAAGGAGATGGAGGGAACGACGACCGTCGGAGGAGATGAAGGGGAACGGCGACCGTGGAAGCAGATGAAGGGGAAGTAGGCGACTGTGGGATTATCGCTGTAGGGGAGGCGACCGGAGACAGGCGAACGACGATGGAGGGAAGGCGATACGTGGGATGCGATGTGAAGAAGAGCGGCTGGAAGAGAGGGTAATTTTGGAACAATAGGGAGATGCAGAGATGGTGGAGGCGACAACCGGCGACGGAGGAGACGGAGACGGTGGAGGCGACCGGCGATGGAGACGGTGGAGGTGACCGGAGACGGTGGAGAAGACAACCGGCGAAGCTGTGGAATGCGACGTGAAGGCGACGTGAACTCGGTGAAGGCGACGGCTGGAAGGAGAGGAGATGGGGGGAAGGGTAATCCTGGAAAAATAAGCCTCTGAACCATTAGGCAACCCATTAGATGCAAAATGGTTAAGAGGTAATTGTCACCATTAAGAGGCTCTATTTTTTTTGCCAAACAGCCTCTGCCTCTTACCGATTAAGAGGCTTTCTCTTAATGTCACGCAAACAAACAGCCCCTTAGTTATCATTGTTTGTCACAAATAACTCTTTCACCCCTGTAATTTTAAAATTTTAAGGTGGCCGTTACGGTTTGTAAAAATGATTAGATTTGTCTCCTTTGTCTTCTGACGACGATTAAAATTCCGTTAAATGAAAGACATTTTCATTCTTTTATTGTTTTTTTTTATCTTTTATTCAATCGAAATTAATAGTAGGGAAATTGACTAAAATAGTCAATTTTATCAACCAAATTCACTTTAATAGCCACTTTCCAGAGTCTCAGTCTCTTCCTAAAATAGTAAATTGAATCTTTACGCAGAAATTTGATTTCTGGAAGAAAAAAAACGCATAAATTTGAAGCTTTACGCAGAAAGTAGAAAGTTAAGCAAAAAGAGTTTTTGCGTAAGGTTTGTTTTAGAAATCTTTTCTTTTTGGTTGAAATCAATACTTTTTTTTATTAACCTGGATATTCAATCCGCAATACGAGCCGATTAATCCCAAGATGACCACCTGCTTTGCAGATAGCCCGGAGTCACCGCATTTGAACCTCCATGGTCACAAGAATATTTTTATTTCTCGTTGGATTTAAACCTGGGACCTCCAAGTACTTTTAACCTTTGGAGCCAAGCTCAAACCAATCAGGCACCTCCTTTGTGGTTGAAATCAATACTTACGCATAACGTGTAAGGATTATAATGCACAAACTATGGTTATTTGGGGAAGTGGGTTATTGACATGGCTAAAAAGTGAATTGATATTGTAAGTGACCAATATACCCTCACTACAAGCAAATTGTATGACAATGTTATAGTAATAAATCTGATTGATTTGTTATACTGATCATTGTAAAAAAATAAAATCAAACAATGTATGAATCCTATTTGGATTCGGGTTATGAACTTACAGTAGAAAAACGTAACCATTATATATCAAGAAAAAAAACTTCAAAACATAAAAGATTGAAAGGTCACGTCACCAACCCAAAAACCTCTAATGCTACATTTGATTGAAGTCAACGACCTATATGACCTATTTATATTAATGGTGACTCGTTAATAAATCAGTGAGTTCATTTTCAATCAACTGACTCTTTAAGTTTTAAGTCTTCGTTTTTCTTGCAAACAGACGAGTCAAATACAATTAAACCATAAGCAAACATCATCGACGAGTGGTGCTGAGTCTATTAGATGTTACATCTGCGACTAAGTGGGTGCAGGTGTAGAGAACAAAGTCAACATGTGAGTGGTGAATCTGTAGCACAAAGTTAGTTTTTTATGTGTCGGCCAAAGTAATAACCTATGACTCATGAGCTCCATTTCAAGGTATCTCTGACCACCATTTATCCATGTTTTAGGCAGGAGTTCAAACGAGAGACACTTTTGTTTTACGAAAATGCGAGAACACTTCTGAGCCTCCAAATTAATTAATCAATAATAAAAAATAGAATAAATAAAAAAAGACCAAGTATTTATCAACAATTTACAATTGCCTTAGATTTTTCTTTATCTCTTAAATGTTGTTGAAATCATTGAAGACTTCTTACTTCGTGATAATAGTTTGATAAATCGAAGACTTCTTATGATGTGATTTTGTTGTGATAATGTTGTGACAACGATATGATTTTGCAGTGACAAATCAAAAACCAGTGATGATCACTTCCATAATCGTTGGCGCTCTCTGTTCATTATGTGATTTGCCAAAAAAAAAAAAAAAACCCTACATGCCTTTGACATTCCTAAAAAAGGTAAATTTTTATATTACTGCTCTCTTAATCCTTCTAACACATGTGTACTCATCTGAAAGATGGGTGTTACAAGATTTATATAATATAGATCTCTCAGACTATTTGCAAATGGAGATTAATGCAAGTATACATTTCCCAACCAATTGTCGTCTTTTATAAGTAATAAAACGGTAAAATATTGAGTTTCGATCTACAAGGAAAAAGAGTAAAAGTCTTAATTTGAAGTCTAGTAAAAGAGATGAATTCAAAGAACTGTTTTTTCAGTGGGTTTCTTATAACTACTTGATGATAAATAAATTCTTTAAAAATGAGTAAGGATGTAAGGATCTGTTAAGATTTTCAAACACATAAATCAGATAAAACTTTGAGACAAACAACTCATTTTATCCAACCATCAGCTTGTATACTACACTCTTGCGATTTTGAGAAAGGCACGTATCGAAAGACTAACTCTAATATTTCCACAATAAAGTTAAGTTATGACAATGACACAATCTACCACTTGTATAAGCTATATGAAATGAAAACAAGTCTCATTGGTTCTAAGTAACTCTCTCGGGTATACTACCATATCATTTCAGGAATTAGCTCTAGAATGCTACTAGGGATGCTGCAACACCGTGTAGAATTGTAACCAACAAGATTGGAAATAGCATTTGTGAAGAAATCTGCAATATTTGTATACTATTTATATATATGTTTCGATTTTATTCGGATTGAAATTATTGACCTTTAAAAAAATTGGATTATCAGTAAATTAACATCAAATTTTGGATATTTTTATTCGTCTATTATTCGATAATTGTCACATTTATTTCCATTGGCAATTTGAATAATTGAGAAACGGTCACGTTATAACATAATTGGGTTTTTAAATACTTTTATAAAGTATAGAAAATATAGGCTTATTTTGAAGCAAGTCAAAATAGAAATATCAATTAAAATAACTTAAAATAGTAGAGTTTGTTAATCATTGTCCCTGTGGTGGATTATTTAAAAAAATAGTCAGAAAGAATTTAGGCAGCTTTCAATTATTTGTAATAAAATAAATAAATTATTATAATTTATAAGGTCGCATGTTTTAATTAATTAATTTTGATATATATAAAAAATTTAAAATGAAATTAAAAGTACCGTAATTAAAAACACATATGCTTTAACATAATTTAGTATTAGAAGGGTGCTTGTGCAATGCATCGAGACACATTTCGATTTCAATGTTTCGTTTTATTTTTTATTTATGTCGAGATAATTACGATTTTATTTGGTTTGGAAAAAAAAACGATAATGTTTTTATTTTTGAATAAAATATAAATTTGAAAATATCATATTAAATTTGTAAAAAATATATTAATATTAGTATCAAATTAATTATTTAAAAGTTCTTATTTGTGTATTTTTTTTAATTCAAATTTTTTATTATAATTTAATTCATAGTAACGAAGTAACTTAATTTAGGTTTAATAATATATTTTTCTATAAAAATAATAATTAAGTATTATGTTAACTCAATAATTATCCTAATTATATTTTATATTTTTTATATTTTAAAATGAGATGTTTATTCTTTATTTGATTATGTTTATCCGCAGTTAGTTACACGAATTCAAACATACAGCTTTAATAAGTTGTATTTATACAAAATTACTTGTAATCTTGAATTTTAAGTAATATGTATCAATAAACAGTACTTCATGTATAAAAAATGGTTTTTAAGAGTTTTTGTCAAATCTATACTATATTATAAAACATTTGACAAAAACTCTTAAAAATCATTATTTATGCATGAAGTACTGTGTATTAATGCATATTACTTAAAATTTAAGATTACAAGTAAATTGTGCGTAAGTACAACTTATTAAAGTTCCATTTTTTGAATTCGTATAACTAACTGCAAATATAATTAGAATAATCATTGAGTTTTACTCATTATCTTTATAAAATTTTATTGTTAAGCCTAAAATAAATTACTTCGCTAAATCGTACAAAGATTATATTTATCAAAACCACATAAATCGTATTATATCAACAGAGACAAAAAAAAAAACAAAACAGAACATTAAAATGAAGATATATCTCGCTGCATTGTGCGAGTATCCTTCTAATACTTTATAATATAGTATAGATATCTATATTATGCAATTTAAATAAAAATATTAAATTTTAATTTCAGAACTCTAATTTATTTAAAATAATAACATTTGTTTTTCTAATAAGTGAACACAATGTGTTGTCGTGTTATGAAATGACACCTTAAAAGGACGTCAAAATAAACCACATGTGAAATTTGATGGTAGCAAAAGAAACGACCAAAAGAGGAAACTTCTCAGCCCTTAAATGTGGCCTTTTGCCCTTTTTCCCATTGCTTTCCTTTGTTTATATGAGTGGAGTGTATGCCTTTGCTTTACTTTTCTTTTCTTTATATATTCCATTCCCTTAAAAAGAATCGAAAAACGATGGCAAAAAAAACAAGATCCAATATTTTATTTATCGATCTGCTTCATACATGTGTCATGATATCGTACAAAAACGTGTAGTTTCAATTTTATATAAGGTTAATGACTTTATTCTTTGCAGTTGTTTCGTTTAAATTTGTTCTATTAGGTATCGTACGAATAATGGTTTGTGATTGATTCTCTCAAATAGATATGTTTATTCTGTTAATTGGTTTTCTGTCTATATATGTTGACTCCTTTGATTCCGTCCGGTATAATATATCTGTTGTCGTTTGGAAATATAAGTTATAGCTCGTTTTCATCCATAATTTATAACATGTTCGAAGATCCACTTCCGTATCATTGATGCATATGTTTTTCTCAAACCTCAAATCTACAATGCCCGACTAGAAAATCGAACATATTACCAACCTGCGAGTCATGTTTCTGGATGGATACATATATATGTAAACATAATGTTCAAACTTAGCATATTTATGTTCAGGGTCACCCGTCCCTGGCCACGTACATCTCATGCGATCGCATAGGACATCAAAGCCCAAGGGGTATCAAGTTGTCATTTTATTACTAGTTTGGGTTAATAATTTGGAAATTGGACAACAAGGCTTTAACTATCAAACAGGCCCTAGACATGGTAGTTATGGATATTGAATGTGCATCATATACCGGTGAACCTCCAATATT